TTCCTGTAGCCCCTTCAGATCCTGGAAGGTGCTGTGAGGTCTCCACACAACCTTCTTTTCTCCACGCTGAGCATTGCCAGCTGTCCCAACCTGTCTCCAATGGGGAATTGCTCCAGTCCCCTTATCAGCTTGGTGGGTTCCTCTGGGCTTGCTCCAGCAGTTCCATGTCCTCATGATGGGAGCACCAGAACTGTGCAGAGTATTCCAGATGGGGTGTCACAAGAGCAGAGTAGATGGGAGAGTTCTCTCCCTCCCTGCAGCCCACACTGGGGGATGAGCCTAGGACATGGATGACTTTTCTGGGCTGCTCCTTGGCAATCCAAGGAGTTGTGTGATGGAAGGGGACACCGTCCAAGCTGTCCCGACTTCTCAGCTCCTGTGGGGAGAAGCCTCAGTGACACCCTGAACCCTTCAAAATGCTTCCCAGATCCTGCAGTGCACAGGGAATCATTGCCTTCTGTCTCCACCCCACTGTGAGGGACTTCCTGGTGTTTCCCAGCATTTCCCCAGACTCCTGAAGGGCAGAGGGGTGGATGGCGCACCATGCACACACCTGTGGGCAGTGGGCAGATGCAATTCACAGCATTGGGAAATCTGGGCACTGATGAGGTCTGAAGGCCAGAGATTGATTCTTTCCTTTCACTGCTGCTCTTCAGCACAGGGAGAGCTCCCTGCACCCAGAGTAGCATCAGCAGAAGTTGGGAGCTGTTGTCTGGTAGCTCTTAAAACCACAGACTTTGTGACACCTTTGCTCTCAGAGATGGCATCTCTGCAGACACAGAGTGCTCCCCTTCTTCCTCGCTGGGTGTCCTGTCTCACTGATGGCTGCAGGAATTCCATTTTCTTGGCCACATTTGCTCCAGTGCTAGAAGTGACAGTCCCTGACTTAGCTGGGTCAGAATTCAACACAGGGATTTCGATTTTAGTGTGGGGAAGCTTTGCCAGGACCAGGAAGGGATCAGGTCAGCCCCGGTGCTGCAGGGATTCACAGGCTCAAGGTCTGAGGTCCATTGGAGCTGGCAGGAGAATCCTCATTGATCTGGAGCCGTTGGATCAGGCTCCTTCTGCAAAAAGGAATTCTGAGATACCAATTAGGTCCGTGCCACTTGAAAGAGATTAAAATGGGCTCAGCCAAGCATCTGGTAGAATCAGCAATAAAAGTCCTGGACTGCCTTTGGTAATGAGCTTCACATCACAAGGGAACGATTTTCCCATGAGTTTGCAAAAGGCTCCCCCGCCCTGCTGGGACCTGCTCGGACTTGCAGCCAGGGCTCCTGTGTTGCAGAGAGGTGTCTTTGCAAACAGCTTCACCCGTCTCGGGGCTGCCAAGGGGGAGGACAACGCTATGGCCACTCTAAAACCCAGCAGGAAATCGAGAACCTGTGATTGTGTCTCAGTAAACAGAGACTCCCCCCTCCCCTCAGTGAGTGCACTGCAGAGCAAATCCAGCTTTAGATAAACAAAGTTCCTCTTCCAGGCTTCCTCAGCTGGTTTCAGCAGATGCCCAGGGGCTCCACAGCTCTGCCAAGCTTCTGACAGCCCTGCAGAATAATCCCAGCTCAAACTGACTCATAAAGAAAACCAGCAGGGCTCACATCTGACAAGCTGCTCTCTGTCCTGTGGCTGCTGCCAGCGGCTCCACTGAGCAAAAAGTCCACCCTGCACCTTCCCACTGCAGCCCTGTCCATCCCTCACTGTCCCCAGGGTTTCTGAACCCAGGAAAATAAATTGAAATGAGGATGACATCAGGAAATATATGGTAGATCATGACTTCATGGAAGGTCACTTCGCTGTTGCTGTGTGTGTGCTGCGTCCCAAGCAATGGGATCAGAGAGCCTGTGTAGGTGGTGATCCTGGATTTATCCTGGGCAGCAGAGGGCTTGTCCCACTGCCAGAGAGCCCCCAAGACTCATCACATTCTACTGTGATGTGGCTCTTCTTTCCACCTGCAACCTGTCCTTCCCAACCCCTCTGCAGGAAGCTCCAAACCTGCCCCTGCCCCACTCAGCACCAGGTTTGTTCTGTGTCCTCTGGAGAAGGCACAGAGAGAAGCTGCTCCCCTTTTGTCCCCTTGCAGCACTTCACCTGTTTAGATGCACATCTGAAAGTCTGAAAACTACTCAAATAATAGGGATTTGGGCATCAGCAGAGCTGGACTAAAGGGCTTAGTCCCACCCAGGTGGTGCCAGGGAAGGGTTTCAGCCGTTACCTCTGCAGCTCTCTGGGACACGGCCAAGAGGATTCCCTGCATTCCTGAAGATCAGTTTGTTAATGGAAATATTTAGCTTAATTAATTAACATAATGACAATTCTGCAGAGTGTTGGAGGCAGGAATGATGCTGAGTGTGCTGGGGCTGGGATGGAGTTAGGGCAGAGCTGAGGGACTCCAGGGTGAGCCAGCAGAGGATTCCATTTCTCCATCACAGAGTGTTTCTAGGTTAGGAAATATGGAATTTTTTTTTTCAGTGACATGAACTATTACACCAGACACAGGCTTTTCACAATTCCAAGGAAATGATTAGGAGCCAGTGTTGACTTTTCTCTCCCAGCCAAAGGGACCCTTGAGTGGCCGTTGCAGGAAGCAGCACCCAAAGTGACGCTGCTCAGAGTTGGATGAGAAAAAACCACTTTGATCCAACAGGAGACCATGGAGGAGCTTTCCCAGGATAATCAAAGGGACATGGGGAAGGTCGTTTTATTCCTTAGTTCTTTTTATCCCTGTTTGCTGTATATCTTGGAGATCTCCTTGCCAGACTGCTGAGGGGATGCAGAGCACAAACTCAGCATCAAGGGGCAAACAGCTCTAAAACAATTTCTTTTCCTTTCTTGAGTACACACCTGAATGAGTTGTCTCTCATTTGGGCATAACCCTGCAGGCTCCCACAAGGCAACACTGACATCCCAAAGGTTTAACATGGCAGAAGATTGAATTCAATCCTGGTGTGGCAAACTTGATGCAAATCTGGAAGACTTCTGATGAAGGCATTTTGAACTGACAGCAGGGCAGCTAAAGCCATCTTTTTGTTTTGCTAATTGTAGATGGTTTATTTTACCATCTTTTATCCTTTCTTTTTTTATTTCCTGTCTTAGTCATCTCAGTTTTTATTGCTTATTGCCCATTGTTCCCAGAGCATCCCATTATCTGAGCAGATACTACACGCCTTGTAACTCATAAGCTGATATTCATTGTCTCCACTTGTTTCTTGGCTCAAGAAACAAGATTCAAGAATCCCTTCTTACTCATTTTTCATTCTAATAGATGGCATGGAGAAGAAAGGAGCACAAGGAAATTAAAAGTAAGTGCAGGGACTGCTGGAAGGCTCCATGATGGTGAGAGATATGCAGTGAGGTCCTGTAGTTACAGGGTGGGTTAGACCCTGTGTGTTGGGAATAAAGCACTTTCTCTATTGCCAGCTTTCAGCTTTCAGTTCTAATTAAAGCTCCTGGATGCCACATCCTGGTCCCTCAGTGTCCCTGGTACCCAGGTGGGGTTTGGCTCCTTGGTAAGGGCTGCAGGTTGGATAACCTCTCTCAGGGGTCTCTGTGGTCCTGGCTGACCCTGAGATGTGTCAGAGTCTCTTTTCCCAGCCTGGCAACCGAACAAGGAGTCAGGATTCTTCTGCTCTGGTTTTCAAGGTTGTTTATTTTCTGTTATCGGTAACATTCTTTCCCTGGCCTGCTGAGGTCCGTTCAGCAGGTCAGTCAGTGGCACACTGCCTGCCTTCGGGGTGGTGTTGTGTTTTTATACTAAAAACTACCTGTACTTTATTTACAATTATTTTCCAATACCTAGCACCTATGTTAGACAGTGTATTCTTACTCTAATCCAATCCAGAAGTACCACCATCACCCAGAAGATGGAGGCTAGGAAGAAGGAGAAAGAAGGACAAGGCACACCCAAATTCCTCCATCTTGGGACCCCGAGTCCCATTCTAAAAACCCCCAAATTCTACTTTTCACCCTGTGACAAACTAACTATCATTCTACTTAAACTTTCGTGGCTTGTAAGTCCTCATACAAGGTTGGTAATTTTTTCTGTGGGTCAAAATCAAAGGCACAGGGGTCTTGAGCTCTGTGCCAAGGTCTCTGAGCCCCCTGGCAGGGGCTTGAGCCCTCCAGGGCAGCCAGAGGGATGTCCTGGATTCCAACAAACCTCCCATCAATTTTGGGCACGAAAAGGCTTGGGAGGCCCAGGAAAGCAGTAACAGGCAGCCAGGTGGGCCTGGCTGTGCCCAGCTCAGCCTGACGCCGTGTTTGTGTTTGGCAGCTGTGATAAATGCCAATCACTTGTTTATAAAATTTTAAAAGTTTAATAGTAATAAAATGGTTATAAAATAATAGTAACACAATTAGAGTAAGAACAATTTGGACAAATTGAATGAGGACAATATGAGACAATAAATACAAAGAGTTACGGATGTCCGGATACCTTTTTCTGGGCAGCACGAGCCTGAAAAAGGACACCCATTAACAAAGAATTAACCCTTAAAAGCAATGGCCTGTTGCATATTCATACACTTCATACATGATGCATAAATTCTTTTCAAAAACAGGATTCTGTCTGGTCATCATCACCTTCTTCCTTCGAATCCTAACAGTGCCTTCAAGGCGGGAAGAAGTTCATTTCTTCTGATAAGAGGGCAATGAATTCTTTTTCTCTGAAAGATTCAGGTGTCCTGTGGCTGCTATCTCGCAGCGAGTCCTTTCTTTAAAAAAAATATCCTACATAGCATAGTTTCTATTTTAACATTTTTTATAACCTAAAACTACATTGCACACAGTACTTAAGAGCATTAATACAGCATTACTTTCTAACACAATACATACAATATATGCATGTATCCATGTGCTCAGATGAACTGCGCCACAGTCTAAGGAGCACTGACCAGACAAACAGTGAAGATACTATATAGCATTTTAAAGAAGGAATTTTGCAAAACTGTATCTTTGATTCATCTTAAAATCATAATATCACAAAACACATGCATTTCTCACACTAGCTCTACAACGGGACGCTGAAGCGGGACGTGGAGAACCGGCGCTACAGCTCGTACAGCCAGATGGAGGGCTGGGCCAGCCGGGCCCACAGCAAGGCGCTGTGCAGCCCCCGGGCCGGCAGCGATTACTGCTTCGTGCAGAACATCAAGAGCAGCCGCAGCGAGCCCGACCTCTACTGCGAGCCGCCCCGCGGCACCCTGCGCAAGGCGCACGGCGGCGGCCGCGCCGAGCACAAGGCCACCCTCAACCGCCAGAGCATCTACAGCAGCTGCAGCACCCAGCAGGGAACCAGCAGGACCAGCAAAAAGGTGCCAGCGCGGGCCCTGTCCTGCCCCTCGAGCAACAAGCCCGACGTGGTCTATGCCCAGCCCGTGATGAGCTGCAAGCAGGACGGGGTCTATGGACAGGCCCAGTCCAGCTCCAAGTAAGTGCTCTTGTTATACATAAGAAGCTTGACTAGGCCAATATATCCAAGTAAGTCCTCTTGTTATGAATAAGAAGCTTGACTAGGCCAATATATCCAAGTAAGTGCTCTTGTTATAAATAAGAAGCTTGACTAGGCCAATATATCCAAGTAAGTCCTCTTGTTATAAATAAGAAGCTTGACTAGGCCAATATTCAAGCAGCAATCAATTTATTAATTAATATGGTAAAGTATGAGCAATACAGCGCTGGGTACAGTTCCCTCCAGCTGCACACCAATAGTTGAGGCTTACAGGTATTTACAGGGATACTCATAAAGTTTCTCAGCAGTTTCTATTCCAATTTTTACTCATCAGCAGTTTCTATTCAATTTTTACGTCACAATTCTATACAATATTGTGATTTAGTATTTCTCAGGATGTATCCCAAAAGGAGCATCCCCAGGTGGTGCTGGTCCGGTTCCTGAAAGAAGAATCCCATCTGGTGAGGTCCAGCTCCCCAGATGTGAGTCCACCTTTTAATTACAAGGACTACAAATCTCCTAAGAGTGATGTCCAGCTTCCCTTGGTTGAAACCATAAATCCTTGAGCTGATGTTCATCTTCCTTTCTCAAGCTGTTTTTCTCTGTTTTGTTAAGGTGTGAGATAAGCATATTTCCTTTATATATATTCCAAAGCTATAATTTCAAGGATACAAGCAATATTCTAAAATTATACTTCAAAAGAGTATGATTGCAGAACTCTTTAAGGATTAACTACAAGCAAATGCAACATCCTTAACACTTTAATTCCAATGCTCCTAAATCAACTCAGGTTAATTGCAAACAAAAGATAGGTTCCAAGGCCTTCTTCCATGCTTTACTTTCTTCAGTTATTATTAGAATTCTCAACTATCCCACTGTTGGTCTCCACACATATCACAGTCACAAATACATACCTGACACCAAACACAGCTTTGTATTTCACACTCTGACCCTGAGGGAGCCTGGGCAGTGCTGGGAGCTCTGCCCACCAGAGCCGGGCACCGGAGCTGCTGCAGAGCCCTCAGCAGCACATCCTGCAGCTAAGTGGGTCAGATGAGTCACTCTTCAGGGCTTTATTGCATTTCCTGGGCTGTGGAGGGGAACTGCTCAGTGCAGATGTCTCTGCTGTAGCTCTGTGATATTGGGCAACACAATCCCTCAGTGTCTGTGGTGGCATTAACCCACAATGATATGAGGATGGGGAGGTGAAGAGCAGAAGGCCTGGTGTGCAGTCATGGTGTCTGTCCTGGCTGTCTTATTGCTTCAGCCTGGCAGAAAACTTACCCAAAAAAACCTGTCTTGGAAGAAGTCATTTCCTGAGGGTCTGACTCAGAGCAGAGCTGAGAGCCTGCTAAGCAGTTATGTTTCCCTCTCTTCTCTCCACCCAGCCTCTGCTCCATTTGCCCAAAAGGTCTGATTTTGGTTCCAGAAAAAAAACTGAGTCATAAATTGAAATAAATATCCTAAGTGGAATAATCTGACTAAGCAGGAAAGAGGAGCCAGTGGAAGCTGCTCAATTCTTTCCTGTCCAGAGCATCCAGTCCCATTTGGGATAGGAAATATATAAGGGTGGAGGATAGCCCATCATGTTTGAGCATCAGATCCCTTCTTGTAGATGTTGCCTACAAGCACAGGGTGTGTAAATCCCAGCAGTGAGCTCAGACCCTCCCAAGGCTGTACCTGTGAATGCAGCAGAGTTCCCACTGGCAATCACCTGGTTTGGGGGGTGACTGAGCACTGCCCCAATGCCCTGTGCTACCTCCAGCTCTGGAGCACCAACCATGTCCTGCTGCAGTCTTGGGGGAGACTTGATCTGCACAAACCATAGTCTTGGAGGCCTTGGAAGACCATGGTTTGCGTGGTTTGAACTGCAAAACATTGCAGTGAAAGCTGGAGAAGGAGGGGCTGCAGCTTCCACAAGAGTTCCCAGGGTTACTGCACTTCCTGTGCTCATCACCATCACACAGGACTTGCTCTGCACCAGCCCAGAAGCTCTCACACCTCCCTGACAGGGGGAATTTTGTCACACAAACAGTAAAAGCTCCCAGACTCATTCCTGGTAGTCCCTGGTCCCAAGGAGAAATTTCCCACTGCAGGATGTGTGTGAGACTGTTTAAAAGGGCTCATAGACTTTGTCAGAACTCCCAGCAAAGGTCTAAAACTGTTGAGTTGTTGCCCCAAGGAATGATGGAGATACTGAGAAAATCCCCTTCCCTTTCAGCAGCATAAGCTACACTGTGCCCTTTTCCACATCTGAATGTCCCAGGTTACTCTGGCTAAGCCTCCCTGCTTTGGGATTGAGTAGGAGGGTATGTCCCAGAGCATGGATGCCAAGAAACATCACTACCCCATTAGAAAGTTATCATGAGCCCTTGGCTCATGTGCCCAGTTCTCCATGTTTGACACATGCCAAATTAGCCCTGGCCAGCCCAGAGCACTGGTAGCCTTGTTTTGCTGCTGTCAGCAGCTCTGTAAATCCTCTGGAACAGGATCCAGAGATGTTACACAAACTGGAAGTGATCTGTTCTAGGGAATTTCTCACTGAGGAGCAGAAAAGTGTAGTGGGAAGGATGGCAGAATGCCTGAACTCAGGGCTGCAGCTGCCTTCTCCTAGGGAGGACACAGCTTTGGAGCAAAAGCCCTGGCAGGCTCTGGCCAAAGCCACGGTCAGGGCTTGCTCATGGCTTTGGAGAGGTTACTTGGAGACTGATGGCATTTTCTGAGAGGAGAGCTGCTGTTTTGAGAGGGATCCTCTCCAGCTCTGGTTGCCCTTGGTTAGGGAGTGGCTCCATTTACACACTCCTGGCTTGGGGCACGGCTCATCTGGCAGAACTGGTTCTGCTGTGGAAACCTCAGGCTCCAAGTTGGGCTCCAAGCTGTGGGCTCAGCTGGGGCTGTGTCCCCTGGGTGAATCTGATGTGGCTGTGGCACAGCCCCTGCTCTGCCTGAAGCTCTGCAGAGCTGGGCTGGTGCAGGGGGCACTGGTACAGGAGTTGTGTTCAGAGGGGAGGAGGTTGTCCTTAAAGCTGTGGAGACATACAAAGTTGTCCTTTTTGGAAAAATTATTCTTTTGGATGACTCTTAGACCTCACAAGTGTCTTGCAGGGCAATGTTGGCCTTGCTCTCAGAGTGCTCTTGTTGGGGAGGGGCTTCTGAGGTGGGTCAGGAATATGTCTGGACTCTCCTTGCTATTGTGTCTGGGCTGCTGTGTCTGGAGGATTCTCCGCCTAGAGATTTCAATCTTCCCTTGGCTCCCCTGATGTTGAGTAAGGAGAGCTTTGCTTGCAGGTACCCCATTATTGACCTCCCCATGCAGGGACAGGGGTCAGCTGGGTCACAGCTGCTGCCAGTTCCCAGTCTGGGGCTCTGTCCTTCCATTCTGGTCATTTTCCAGGTGCAGTTTGTGCTTCTCTGATGTGGAGAATTCTGTGTTCAGTTTTTGTGCTGTAGATCTCCTGGTTTGGGATCTGTTGGATGTCTTGTCTGCAGGTTCGCCAATAACCTGCAAGAGCTAGGGAAGGGCTGGATGCTTTTCATGCTTTCTGAGGTGATCCATGGGGTGATTTCCATTGCAGTGGGACCTGTGCTCCACTGGGTCTGTCTGTGACACAAAACTCTGTAATGCCCATGGACTGGCTCCAGAGTGGTGCTTCTCAGTCATCCTCTGCTGTGGATCTGGTCTCCCTGGATGGGTCACTGAGTGTTCTCAGGTGGCAACAGTGGTGTGCAGGTATCAAAATTCTGAGTGTGCAATAACTGTCAAACTGTCTGTGCTAAGCAGTCCCTCTGCATTTGGTGACAAAGTTGTTTAATTTCCACAACTGGTCTTGATTGTGTGATTGCTGCCATTTATTGAACTGGGTTTGGCTGTATGAGACAGGGAAGAGCTGATAACTGATAACAGCTGATAACTGATATCTCTCAGAGTCCTCCCTCTTACAGCAGCAACTCTGACCACAGCCCCTTTCTTCCAGCTGCCTGCTGAGCAGTGTAACACTGAACTCTTTGTCAGGAAAAGCCATTCTATGATTCCCTTATAAACTAAATCATGACACAGGGGTTGACTCACCCCTTGCTGTTGGCCCTGGTGATGAAATCTGAGTTTTGCAAAGTTTGCCAGATCAGGAGGTTGAACACTATTTAAAACTCCTCATGCAGTTTATTCTCTTCCACCAGCCCCAGTCATGATCCTGCCTCAGTGAGCAGAGAGGGACCTTCTCATGTCTGTTCCATTTCTTTCATAAAAAATTTCTTCACAGAAGGGGTTGTTTAACATTGGAAGGGGCTGCCCAGGGAGGTGGGGGAGTCCCCATCACTAGAGGTGCCAAGGAACACCTTGGATGTGGCACTGAGTGCTCTGGGCTGTGTGACAAGGTGATGATTGGCCACAGGTGGACCCGATGGTCTCAGAGATCTTTTCCATCCTCAGTGATTCCGGGATTCCAGACATACTTCTCTTCACTCAGAGACTTGAGCCTTGGTAATCATTATGTCATATCTGGATCAACATTTCCAAGCTCAGCATCTCTGGCCTGGGATCAGACATTCAGGGTGTTCCAGTGGCTCCTGCCCAAAGGCTGCTCTCAATGAGCAGCACTCACATTTTGCCAAAATGCTGCTCTCTCGATTCTGGTAGAGTTGGAGGAATTTTCTTGGTTCCAGGACTCCCTGTTCTCCACAGAACCCTTCCCCTTCCTGATCTCTTGTGACATCCCCCAGAGCTGCAGTACTTCACCCTAGAAGCTGCAGCACTGCAGTGATTTCAGCAGCTGGTGGAGACCACCCAGATCTGCCCACTGGGAACCATTTCCTCTGCTGGGTGGCACTTGCAGCATGCTCCAGGTGACAGGGCAGCACCCTGAGCAGGCAGCTTTTGGCTAAATTACATGTTGCAGTGTTATTGATGTTATTGATACTATTTATGCCCACTCAGGATAAAAGTTTCTACATCCTGCTTGGTCATCAGGGAGCTGTGGTAAGAAGCAGTAACAAACAATGGGATGTTTAATTCTCCTGGGAAATTTGGAATCTTTGTGCCCCTCCAACTGGAACCCGAGGTGCAAGAAATCTGTGTCCACCAGGGACTGACATAGTATTAGCTCTGCTTAGAGCTGTTGTGCTTTGTGCTCCAGGGGCCTCATGGCACAAACAGGGCAAGGCGGTGGCCGTGGTGTCAGTGACCCTGCAGTGGTCTCAGCTGGTCACAGCACTGCAGGAGATGCCTCTCTCTGAGCTGAGGTGCCAGTGCCAGTGGGGCTGAATTCAGAGACAGGTCCCTGAGTTACCCCCTAACAAACCAACACCTCTTGCTGTTCTCAGGGAAGCCCAGATGTCTGAGCTGGATACATGGCTGAGAGCCCAGACTCATCCCACCCCTGGAGAAGGGGGTTTCTCCTTTGGGAGCATGGAATGGGGAGCTGGGTGTCTGCAGACACCCTGGCTGAGGTTTGCTGATCTGGATCAGGAGTCTTTAATGGGCACCTGCAAACCCACACTTACCTTTGGCCCCACTGGGAGATGTGGATGCTCTTCCCTTTGGAGTCCTCTGAGTGTGGAGGAGACTGAAACGCCTCATTAGAGACCATGTGAGTGTCTGTCCAGGCACCTGGGGATCCAGAGCATCTCAGAGTTGCTCTGGCAGAGGTCTTGGATGCCTCAGCTGGCAGCTGTGCAGGGGGCAGTATAGACTGTGACAACCCTCTGGGATTTCTTGGTGCCACATTTGGCTCTGGTGACACCGACCTGGCCCTGGCTGAGCTGCTGCAGCCTCTGTGCTGTGCCTGAAGCTCAGGGACACTGTGTCCCCAACAGCCATTCATTCCCTCCTGAGCTCAGCTTCTCAGGCAGTACTGCAAACAGAGGGAAGGACAGGAGTTGTTGAAAGAGGAAAGGTGCTGAGGGTGGTTTCTGATCTATCTCTTGTCTTTTGGGATAATTAAAACTGATCAATATCAAAACATTAATTCTTCAGGGCTAAGCCAGGCAGTGAGAGCAAAACCGAGTACAATGAAAGGCACCTTCATTTTGGTTTGTTTTTATTTGGGATAGAATGCTGGGATGTGCTGAGCACTGCTTTGAGTCTCTACTCTGATTTTATTAATGAACAATGGAACTTGTTAATTCCTCTTCTCTTGGGAGCTGTAACCATAACAAGGAGGACAGAAACTTCGATGGGAATTAACACAAAACAATCTGCTCATGAAAGGTGAGGGAAATTGCCTTTCTCTTCAGTATTGCCTTTCTCTTCTGATCCTCTTCAGTATTTGTTTGCCTTCCATTCCAGAATCTGATCTTCTTTGTCTCCATTGAATAATTTCTAGCTGAGGTCTCTTCCTAGTCTGCTTCTTTCTTGTGGAAGAACAATCTTTGGAGCTCTTCCTACCAGTCACATTGCCCAGGCTGGAGATGGCTCAGTCCAAGAGTTTGTCTCGAAGCAGGTTGTTGTTCCCACAGTATGCATCTGGCTGGGAATATCCCTGACTGGCTGAGGAACAATCTCCCCTTTGCTGGACTTTGCCAGGGTGATTTTATTCTCAGGTAGGAGAAATCCCTGCTGCTTCCTGGGCAGTGTGACTGAGCCTGACTGCTGAGCTGCTGTGAATTTCTGCTGAGGACACAGCAGGGAAAAGGGCACCTTCCCCATTTTCTCCCACAGAACTGCACCTGCATCCCAGTTTTTCCCAGCTGAAGGAGGGTTTGTCCCTCTATGGAGTGGATGTGAAGAAAATTGCCTTCCTTGAGCAGCTGGATCAAGAGGACATCCTTCTGTCTCAGAAAAAGTGCATTTGATTCAATAATTATAAAGCAAAATAGATCACTATGATTACATGGCCACTGACCTGGTATTTTTACCAATCTGCCTCTCTTCCCATACCTCCAGTCCAGGTCCCAGTTCCCAAAGGAGAAGCCCCTCCCTGGTTCAGGATCCATCAGTTCTCAGCTCAATTGTCTCAGGAGCATGAAAAAAAACTGAGAAAAAATCACATCCTGGATCCAACCCAAGGGTTTCTGGGGCTCCATAATTTCTAGTTTACTTAGTCTTTCCAGTTTTGTCTCTCCTTGTTGCAAGTTTAGTGGAAGTTCCTTGGTGCCAGGTTTTGGTAGAGGTTCAAACTGATGGAAAGTCTTATGAAGAAGTGGTGTTTTATTGCAGTGTAGAAATAAAAGTGGAATGAGGTTTACCCAGTCTTAGACATGGAATGCTTCAGGTCCATCCCCAGACTGTTGTCTTTCATTCCTGCATACCAAGAGAGGCAGAGGTGTCTCCAGAGGGCAGGGCTTCCTTTCCTAGGAAAAATGTCCAAGACACAAAGGCAAGGTGGTTTTTGAAAACACTGAATTCTTTCCACTGACTCCACAGGTGCTTGATTGAGTGATGCAAGCTGAATGTAACTTTATGCCAGTGAGACCAGAGTCCTTCATGCTGCCTTTTGTGTGAAATTCCCTGTGGAATTGTGCATATTATTCCCTGCTCTGTGCTGTGTGGAGGGGAGCCCTTAGATTCATAAGGAGAAATGTTTTATCTCATTGTAAGTGCTGCTGGTGGTGACCACATGTCATTTATTCTTTACATTGCTTTGGCACATTCAAAGCAACTCTGTCCATCCCATGCCTGGAAGTGCTACTGTCTTGTGGTGAAATTTAACACTTCAAATGTAATGGGTTCATTTAAAGAACTTATTAAAAATCACTGTTCTGTTGGTCTGTGGCATTGTCTGAAGCTGAGCAGCCCCTCTACAGAGTCACTCCTGGTATGACATGTAGCAAAAATGTGTATAATTAAATGTGGTTCAATCAGGGAGTGATTTCCTGACCTCCAGGTGAAACTCCCCATCAGTCCCCGGGAACATCATCAGCCAGGCACAGCCACGACTTCACTGACCTGGGAAAGCCCTCACACTTCTGGATTCCATCCACTGCTAATGAAGCCTTTCTCATTTGTATCCTGTCACTGCTGACAGAAAACCAAGCAGGAGTTTGGGTTTTACTCAGTCCTCAGTCCCGGACTTTGCAAATTAATGCAGCCACCACTGCCATGAGCTGAGATCCCCATGCAGCCTGTGCAGGATTCAGCTGCAAGGGTGCTGAGAGGAGACAGGAACCTTCAATGACAATAATTTCTATAACTGGAAGCACAGACAGGCTTTGCTGTTCAGACCCCCCTGAAAGTTTGGACCCTTTTCTAATTCTGTGTTAAAACACCACAGACGGTACTGAATAACAAGCCAAAAAGAGCAGGACCTTCAGGTTTCTAAACAAGTGGGAGAACCTCCAGATGTTTGTATTTCTCCCAAGATTCCAGTGTTGCCACAAGCCAGAGGAATTCATATCCTTCCTCTTGAGTTGCAGGCACATTCTTTACCTCTAACAGGGATGATGACAGTGGTCAGCTTTTATAAGAGCTTGGAGCCAGCCAGAGTGAACATCCCCTGGGAGCAGGATGTCTCAGAGCTATTATTAGCATCTCATAAACTGCCTATTTGTCCATCCCATCACTCCAGAGAGGCCTTTTCCTGAGGGATCTGCTTGAGCTTCCCAAGACCATCAACTGCACTCACATTTCTGCTTGCATCACCTCTCACATCAAAGAATCCCATGCTGTGAGAAAACCACCTGCCTGTGTTACCTTGTCCTCATCACCTGGTGGATGGTTTCACTCCTGTCCACTCACTCCTTTATTTGGGGAACAGTGAACTGGCTCTCTGCTCTTTAAACTTCCACTTTGGGCATGATCAGACATCCACCACCTCAACCCAGCTTTCATTTTCTGTCTCCTTTGCTTGTGGATAGACTGGATCTGTAATTTATTACCCTTAGTGCTCTTCACTGTGTGTTTTCCATCTTTTACCATCTCTTTTTTTGAGACAGAGAGATGCACTGGAAGTGCACTGTGTGGTCTGTGTTGCAGTGTGATAATATTTTATTTTTGATTCCTTCCCAATAACTCCCAGTGCTGACATAGCTGTCAGGGCTGAGCACTCACCCAGTTCTGTATTTCTCTTTGACACAGGATCTGTGGTGATGAGATTGATGCTGGCACCATGACCATCCAGAAGGCCATCCAGCTCCTGTGCTCCTCTGATGACAAGTACCAAGCCATGGGGGCTTACTACCTGCAGCACACCTGCTTCCAGGATGAGTCTGCCAAGCAGGAGGTGAGCAGACTCCTCCAGTGCCACACTGGGGCTGATGGCACAAGAGAGGGATGGGGCTGGTTTCCTTAGTGCCAAGGACCCATAGGTTCCCTTGGTTTTCATGAGGGTGCTTTGTGCCTCTTTAGTCAGGCCCAGGTATTAATTAAGTAGATTTTTCAGCTATTGATGGCCATTTTCTCACAACAGCAGTTGGTCAGGATTTAATGCCTGGAATAGTTTCTGGGTAGCAGGGAGACTGTTCCTGTTGTCACCATGAACTGCTCTGGCAGAGGGTGATGGGGCTTGACAGTGTGGAAGCTGCCATCCAGTGTCCTCTCCTGGGGGCAACTGCACCCAGTTCCACATCAGTCTTGCACCAATTCCACATCAATCTTGCACCAATTCCACATCAATCTTTCACTATCTCGGAGCTGCAGAGTCAGAGCCAGATAAAAGCTGCTTTAAATCCCACTGTGAACTTTGCTGGGCATTGGCCAGTGACCCTGCAGCCCTTTGCCAGCCTTTTCCACAGCCCTTTTCCAGACTATTTCAGCCACCTGAGACAATGGGCTAATTAGTGACCATGTACAAAGATAATTTTGCACATCCATACTGCTGCCTGCCCCATCCTGGAGTGTCCAAGGCAGGTTGGGCAGCTCTTGGAGCACCCTGGGATAGTGGAAGGTGTCCCTGCCCCTGACAGGGAGTGGGACAGGATGTTTTAAGGTTCTTTCCCACCCAAATCCCTCCATGATTCTGTGATACCTGACCACAGAGAAACCCTTCTTATAGCACAGGTTATTTTTCTGATGATCTTACTCATCAATTCCTTTGCCAACATGCAGCAAAGGAGGCAGACTGAGGATGGATCTGCTGTGGCAAGGACGTCACCAGAGTTTATCCCCACCCTGGATTTACTGACATGCCAACCCTTTAGAAGTGGCTTTCCCTGTGCTGGCACAGCAGTGGAGCTGGAAGCACTCCCCGGTGTGGGGCTGTGCCCCTGTGCCCTGGCGGTGCCTGGATGAGTGCAGGTGCCCAGCCCACGTTCAGGTGCCCCATTGTGGGCTGGCCACACCCTTTGTTACCGTTGCAAGCCCTCTCTGAGCGCTGGGCCGTGCCATCCTTCCCAGGAGGATGTGCCAGAGCAGGTCGGTGACTCATCCCAGCTCACGCTTGTTTTCCTTCCCTCCCAAAGGCGCTCGCTCATTGTCCATTGTCATCAGGCTCGGCCGAGGGTGTTTGTGGCAGGACGGGCTCCGGGCGGGATCCGCTGCAGAGCACATCCCGCAGCGGGAGCGCTCAGCGTTCGGAGAGCTCAGCTGCAGGAGCCGCCCTCAGAGCTCCGTGTGCGGGGTCCTGCGGGGCTGGGCTCCCTCCACTGCCTGCGCTGACCTCGAGGGTGGTGACACCGGCCGTGACCGTCCCTCTGAGCTCAGCCTGTGATCTCGGGCTGCAGATAAATGACCACAGCATGTCATTAGATGGTTATAAATGGCCTCTGCTCATAGGCAAGGCAGCATTTCCACTCGGTGCAGACTGTGGAGGTGGGTGAAAGTTTGCAGGAGCCCATTTCCATCAGCAAACGGCTCTGTCCATGGCCATTATTCACAGACAGCCACTCCTGCAGTTTGAGCTTTTGGCTCCAACCTCCAGCCCAGGAGCTCTGTGCTAGTGACCCATAGCCTGAACGAGACTTGTCATCTCTGTCCCTCATTCCCTGGCAGCTCTGCCTCTTCAGCTCCCCCAGGATGGGCTGTCTGACCCCTGGCACTGCTGGGGCACTTCTGGGTGTCCCTGTCCCAGCAGTGTCCTGTGCTCTCTGCTGATGGCCTGTGTCTGTTGTGGTGCTGTACTCATGTCCCATGTCTGTCCCATGTCTGTCCCATGTCTCTCCTGGTGCCCCATGCTCATGTCCCATGTCTGTCCCATGTCTCTCCTGGTACCCCATACTCACATCCCATGTCTGTCCCGTGTCTCTCCCGGTGCTCCATGCTCATGTCCCGTGTCTGTCCCGTGTCTGTCCTGTCCAGGTCTATCGGCTGGGGGGCATTGCCAAGCTCGTGGAGCTGCTCCGCAGCCAGAACCAGAACGTGCAGCGGGCGGCAGCCGGCGCCCTCCGGAACCTGGTGTTCAAGAACCCCACCAACAAGATCGAAACCCGGCGGCAGAATGGGATCAGGGAGTGTGTGAGCCTCCTCCGCAGGACAGGGAACACTGAAATCCAGAAACAGCTCACAGGTACCCTGAGCCTGCTCAGCCATGAGGTTCCCCTTGCCTGGGGTCTGCAGTCCTGGTGCTTCCCTAGCACAGAGGGGGATCTTCTGTTCCTCTTGCACCAAAGTGGGACCTAGATCAGAAAGCAGAGGAGGTCCTGACCCTTCCATGTTCCTCACTTCCTCAGTGCCTGTTGGGGAAGCACCTGCCCCAGGTCCCCTCCCAGTTATGGTCACCCTGCCATTCCCACACCTCCCTGCACTCTGGCCCCTGTGCTGTTCCCAGGAATGGCTGAGGGAGATGCCAACCCCAGTAGGGTTGGCTGGGTTCTCTCCTTGGTGCCTCACCTTTGCCTGAGGAGTTATGGGAGTTTTTTGGTGCCGGTCACCCTCAACTCTGTCCCAAGTTTTATGTGCAAGCCTTTCTTTCCCTGGAGAGATGCTGTCCCCTGCAACCTAATAGCAATAAACAGCAATTTTGGGAGGAGGAAGGATGCTTAAATGCCCACCTCCATGTGGACCCATCCTGCCTGTCTCCCATAGGGGTGAACAGGGACTGAGGTTTCAGTCAGCCACTGCACCCTCAGCTCAGAGTGGTGAAGGGAAGAAGGATTTTGGTGCTGGAATCACCCTGAGCTAAACAAAGTTCCTAATGCCCTGACCTTGTGCTTGAGCTTGTGTCCCACATCCTTCCTAGGACTGCTCTGGAACCTCTCTTCCACTGATGAACTAAAAGAAGAGTTGATACAGGAGGCTCTGCCTGTGCTGACAGACTGTGTTATCATCCCTTTCTCGGGCTGGTCTGATGGCAGCTGCAACAGGACACGAGAAATTATCGACCCAGAAGTGTTCTTCAATGCCACAGGGTGTTTGAGGTGAGTCACCAGGCAGGGACTGACTGTAGCTTGTGTCTGTGGGCAAAAGCTAAAGCCATCTAAATCCTCTTACAATGAGCTGAATTCATGCTCATTACAATTGCGTTACGAAAAGTTCTCCTTGAGAAAGTTTTCTTGAATAAGAGATGGTGCAGAAAAAATTTGCATGTAGAATACTTTTCTAGTAGCTTTTGATTTTAATAATTTTGTTCTTACTGAGTCTCTTCTCAGAAAAAAATGGAAGCTGTTTTGTGTACTAAGGAAACCCATCACCATCAGTGTTTAGCTCAGACCAGGAAACTGGACAGACTTTGCCTTCAGAGTTTTGAGGCTTTCAGAGAAAACAAACTGATTTAGGATTTAGGTGACAAAAAGACAGAATTCTCTATGTGGAGAAAACAAGCATCTTCCCACTTCTTTTGATAACTGTTTTAGTGCAGTACAGGACTTTTTCTGGCTCATTTCATCTGGAGACTCAGCTACGAAACAGGAGGTGCAGACTGAGCCCAGAGTAGTTTATTTTGTTCACGGGAAACCAGAGTCCTTTTGTAGAGGATCTTCGCCCTGACTTGCTGTTTCTCCTACTTTCCTCCTCCACTTGGATATGAGCTCCTTGTCTCAATGGGAACAAGTGGGGCAGAAAACCTGCCCTGTATAATGAGGTGCTTTCATCAAGGGAAGCTCTCCCCGAGGGAGGCAGCGCCGGCCGCGCCCTTCCCAGACATGCAGCTCGCAGGAGCTGGAGCTGCTTATGAAACGAGAGGCTGATCATGGCAGGGCCTTTGGAGACCTGATACCATCAGCTTCTGTGGCTGGGAACCGTGTCTGGGAGATAGGGAGTGCTGCTCCCTCCTTGCCTGTCCTGGAAGGCAGCTCCCCGAGCAGCTGCAGCTCGGGATGTGTGGGTTACAGTGGGTATGAGCTGCTCTGCTTTAAAGCCATCCCAGCCTACAACATCATAAAATATCCCATTAAAATGAGGGAAAGACAATGGCAACAGCTTGTAAAAATCTTGTGGAGTTTAACTAGAGGTAGGCTCTACCTCCTGAAAATGATCCAGCCTGTGGCAGCAGTGCCCAACATCCCAAGGAAGACTGGCAGCTGCAGGTCAGCAAGGGAGCTCCAGAGGCCTGAGGGAGCAGGACTGGGGAGCAGGGAGAGTGAGGGAAGTTGGGGTTGGATCCAGAGCCCCTGCTCCTAGGGCTGAGCCAGGACTACTCTGAGTCACTGCCCTGCCACATCAGAACACAGGGATGAGAACAGCCCTGGGTTTGCCCTGGGCCCGAGCCATTGCTGCTCAAGCATTTCTGGATTGCAGATGAATCCATGTTAATGAGGAGGCTGCAAATCACAGTGAACATCAGATCCAGTTCTGGAACGCCTGCAGTGAATATCTCACAACCACTGCCAGCCTCTCTTTGTTTTTCATTTGCAAGCTGTAAGGCAATAAAATAGGGAAAAAGAAAAACCAGAGCAAAACAACAAAACCCATATCCTGTTACTGGAAAAACTCCCCTGTCCTGACAACTGCCAGTGTCCAAGAACCCATTTCGACCTCACAGATGGGTCAGTCCCTCTGGCAAGAGCCATTGCTGCTCTCCAGCATTTCCAGCACATTTCCCACACAGACATTGCTGCTGACCCTGGGTAGGTCTGTGCTTACAACCCTGTGCACCTTCTTGATGATCACAACAAGCCCAGATAGTCTTTAGCCAGTCTTCCCTTTGGAAACTCCACTCAGGAGACGGTGTCTGTGTAGTGGCACATGCAGAGTCTCTGAGGCAGCCTCGTGCTGGTGACTGTCCCTAGGAGGGTGTCTTCTATGCAGAATTCCTTGAAGGACATGTTCCAGGTGAAATCAGTCCCAAGGAGCAGCAAGAGAGCTGTGCACTGGTGCAGTCCCACCAAAGGCCTCCAGAACAGGAGCAGTTCTTCAGCCTTGCTGAACCTCTCAAAAATCCCCCAACCAGTGACAACCATAGCCAGAACAGAGCCCAACTCACCCTCTCTCCTCTTTGTCCCCTGCTGTGCTTCTCGATGGCTTCTCAGGAACCTGAGCTCTGCAGACATGGGGCGCCAGACCATGAGGAATTACCCTGGCCTGATCGACTCTGTCATGACTTACACCCAGAACTGCGTGGCCTCCAGCCGCCCTGATGACAAGGTACCAGCTGCTGCCCTGGGCTCCCAGCCCCACAGTTAACAATTGCAACCCTGGGAATGCCTCAAAATCCCTTTCCAACAAACACAAGAGGTGGCTGGCCTCTCTGGCTGCTCTTGTCCTTCCAAGCCACAGTGGGATCTCTTGGAGGGTTGTAAGTCCTTGGGCCTCTGGGCCTGAAGTAGAGCTGGGCTTTAAAATTTTAACAGACACAGAGGAACAGTAAAATACTTTGGTTCCTGAGTCCCCAGAATACTTCCCTTCCCCTTCCCCTTCCCCTTCCCCTTCCCCTTCCCCTTCCCCTTCCCCTTCCCCTTCTCCTTCCCCTTCCCCTTCCCCCTCCCCATTCCAGCATCCTAGTCTCCATCTCTTGCTCTTTACCCCCACATCTTGCCATCCAGCAGGACTCAAGTGTACAATCCCCAGCTTGGCACCGTGTTCAGCAGGAAGCCAGGAGTTGGCATCTCTCTGCCAGTCCCCTGACTGTGACTGATGGCTGTGTGTGAGCAGCACTTGCCTTGGACAAAAAAAGTGTTTGTAGACACCTTTCAGATGTAGCCATCAAAGTTACCAGAGTTATTTTGAATTCTCTCTGGATTGAGCAAACCCTCTTTTGGGGATGGCTTTTGCAGGAAGCCCCTTTCCAGCAGCACACACAAAACACAGTTCTTTGGAAATGTAACCACAGGTTCTGATATTGGTTATGGGTACCCAGCCAAAATTCTCTCTTGCTCTTCCCATTGGGCACTCTGGCATCCAGGGAAAAGAGGCTTAAAGCCTGTTCTTGGTAAAAAGTGTCACCTGATCTGTAGCTGTGACTCAGAGAGTCATTGGAAGTTACCCCTGGTGAGAGAAAGGCATTTCAAGATTCAGAATTTCATGGTTTGATCCAACCACTCTCACACTCTCTTTTCCTGTTTGCCAACTTGTCTGTGGCAAGTGAGGCCTCCCAAGGTTTTCTGGGTCAGCAGCTCACTGAGATCCCTCCTTCACATCTATTCCAGCTCCTTCCCTCCCATCCCTTGCTCCCTGAAAAAGGCTACAGAGTGTCTGTGGTGCTAAAAAGCAGATTATGGCCCAGCCCATGCCCTCTCTGGTGCTGCTCCATGGTTTTCTGCCTAATGTGATGTTTGCATTTGTCTTCTGGGGGTGATGCAGTCTGTGGAGAACTGCATCTGCATCCTGCACAACCTCTCCTACCGCCTGGATGCTGAAGTTCCCAACAAATACACCCAGCTCAACCACATGGCCCGGAGCGTTTACATGGACAAAACTCTCACAGGCTGCTTCAACAGCAGGAGTGGGAAAATGGAGGTAGGATGTGCCGCAGAGGGATTGGGAATGTGATGTTCAGCCCCAGGCAGGGGCTGCAAAGGAAGAGCAGGATATGAACTCCCTGTTTCTCCATGTCTTTGCAGAATGATGAGTATGGGGTTCCCCTTCCTGAGGAGGATTTCAAGCCCAAAGGCCCCAGTTGGCTGTACCACTCAGATGCCATCCGCACCTACCTGTCCCTGATGGATCAGAGCAAGAAGGATGCCACCCTGGAGGCTTGTGCTGGAGCTCTGCAGAACCTCACTGCGAGCCGAGGGCTGGTAAGAGCTTCCCTCCCCTCCACATGTGTGCACCCAAATGTGTCAGCACTTCATGGAACCAGAGAGTCAGTCAGATTGGGAAGACCTCTAAGGTCCCTGATCATCATCACTTCTCAGCCATGAAAAAGGAAAATGTCCTCCTTAAACCTCAGGGCACCACAGCCAGTCTCTCCATAGTGTTTGATCCAGTGGGATCCTCACTCCAAGCTCAGGGTCTCATGGGGAGCTACAACCAGCATCCCCAGCATCTATCCCAGACCCATACTCTGGGGTTCCAAGTTTCCCCAGTGTGTTGGTCACACTGCCAGCAGCTGCTGGTATTGGCAGCTTCCCCCAGGGTGGCAGTGAGGGTGAGCCCAGATGTGCACCCCAGCCAGATGTGATGAGAGATGGGAGAAGGGCTGAGCCACCACCCATGAGTGTGCTCCAAGGGGAGGTGGCTCTAATGACAGGGTGGGTTGTGCTGTGGATTGTGGCTTGTCCACACCTCAGCGCTACCTGTAAAACAGCTGTGACAGATGTCCTGACCCGTGGGCACGCAGCGTGGCGGTGCCAGGGGCTGGGTGATGCTGTGGCACCGTGGGGACACGTCACAGCCATGGCTCACAGGCCCACATCACTGCCCTGGGCACGTCCTCGCAGGCTGCTCCCCTGGGACAGCCCTTGACTTGTCTGTTTGTGCCCAGCTCCATCAATCCCAATTTAAATAAGATGGATGAGGAGATAAAGAGATAATGATTCCATAGGTAGGAGAGGCGTGTCACGTGTGGGGAGTGTCCCACCCAGAGACACGGGTGACTCACTCTGAGCCTTCCCTGCTGGGATGGCATTAACCTGCCAGCTCTGATCTCCTTTTGTCACAACCATTTCCATGCTAAATAATTGGGAACCTTGACTTTTGGCAATTTAACTAAGCAGTGCCACAAACCAGAAGGTGGAGAGAGGCTGTCACACATGGGCAGAGCTGGTCAGGGAAATGGGGCTGGAGTTCTGTGCTCCAGGAAAAAGAAAATTTCAGCAATCAACAACATTGCACAAGGGACAAACAACCAAACCCAGCTCTGACAGTGCTGGAGCAACTTAATTCAGCCTCCTGGCATGGAATGGCTGAAATTTGTCTGGGTGTGCAGAAGTGGCTCCTCCCCTCAAGGGTCTCATTCCAGCTCAGAGCTGGAGCTGGAGTTGCTGAGTTTGCTGTCATTTGATGGAAGCTGAATCTGGGGATGAGCTTATGGAGCTTGCTGTGATCCTTCAGCTCATAGAGGATGGCTCTGAATATCCTTCAACTGTGCTTTTCACACCCCAGTCCTGCTGGTGTGAATGTGGAACAGGGCGCATGTTTTCCAGACCCTCCTCTCCACTTCTATCTCACTGTTGATGGACATGTATCTCCATCAGCCTTTCTGGTGGGGCAGCTGAGAAGTTCAGTTTAAGTTCTGTCAATAAGGGCAGTTTGTTCAGGAGATGTGCTTGAGCTCCTCTGCCCTGGCTGCATCCTGAGACCTTCTACATTTACAAGCACAAGATCACATCTAAGATGAGTATTTTTGGTCCTCAGACTGTTTTTTAAAGGCATCCATTATCTGTTCCTGCTCCCCAACAGCCCATTGTGGCATGGCAGGAGCTGTGAAGGGCCAGGGCAGGGAGCTGCCAGGGGTTGTGAAGGGTGAGGGCAACATGGACATGAAAGCAAAGCTTCTCCAGCTTTTGGAATGTCAGTTGAGTGATCAACTGCTCCACTGGGGCTCCAAAGAACAGCACCAGCTGCATCACAGCACATGAGAGGCTGACTTTTCAAATGTCACATAATAATGGAATCATTAAGCTTGGAAAAGCCCTCTAATATCACTAAGTCCAGCTGTTCACCCATGTTCACCACTATCCCATGTGCCCAAGTGCCCCATCCACGTACTTTTTGAACATTCCCAGGGATGGTGACTCCACCACTGCCCTGGACAGCTGTGCCACTGCTTGTCAACTGCTTTGGTGAAGAATTTTCCCCAGTATCCAATCTAAACCTCCCCTAGGGTAGTTTGAGATCATTTGCCCTTGTCCTGTACCTTGTTCTGTGGGAGCAGAGCCCAACCCCCTGCACCCTCCAGTCAGGGAGCTGAGGAGAGCCAGAAGATCCTCTCAGAGCCTCCTTTTCTCCAGGCTCCCATAGCTGTGGGGAAGAGAGGTAAAACTGACAGAGTGGGATTACGGCAGCAGGAGAAACGATTGTACAGGACTGCTCATTTTATGGTGCAGTCACATTCCTCCAGGCCTGACCATCATGCCAGCTGTTTCCCCTGGCACTGTAACCATGGGCTCCTGTGTTGTCCCCCAGATGTCCAATGCCATGAGCCAGATGATCGGGCTGAAGGAGAAGGGGCTGCCCCGCATCGCGCGGCTGCTGCAGTCCAACAGCTCCGAGGTCGTGCGCTCCGGGGCCTCTCTGCTCAGCAACATGTCCAGGCATCCTGTGCTCCACAAAACCATGGGTAAGTCCTTCCCCTGTGCTGGATCCCAGCTTTCAGCTCTGTGGGATCTGCCCAGCTTGCTTTGTAGGCCCCATAAGGAGATCTAGCCATGCTCCAGGACTGGGCAGAGCAGTGTCATTTCCTCTGGCCCCAAGGACAGTCACCAGTGCTGTGTGACACGTGCTGTGCTTTATGGACAGTGACAAACCTGCAGGACCATGAGGGTGACAGTATTTTGGGAACTGAGTTGGACTTCACTGTCTGTGGCCAACAACACTGCCCTTCCTAAGGCCTGCAGACCTCGTTTTGTCTTGGGAAAATCCACTCATGACAATGATGCCATTGCTGTCCAACACTTCAGTGTCTCCCTGCAGAGATAACTCTGCTTGGTGTTAACACAAATAGCATCATTCACTTGTGCCAGATTGTGTTTAAATGTTGATTGGAACATTCCTCCACCTCTTTAGCTCACCAGGTGCTCCCAGATGTGTCCCGTCTCCTGTCGTTCCAGTCTGGAAACACCAGCAGCTATGGGGAGATCATGACATCAGCTTGTTACACTCTGAGGAACCTCATCATGTCCAACCCCCACCTGGGAAAGTCTTACCTGTCCAGCAACTTGCTAAATAATGTAGTGAGCCTGTGCCGGAATGGGTGAGTGTGGGGCACGAGGCAGGGGCAGGGACAGAGCCAGGCTGAGCCCAGAGCCTTCCCAGCACCCTTTGGAGCCAGGCTGGAGCATTATTCCTTCCCAATAAAGGAACTGGGTGTGTTGGTGGGCAGAAATCCTCAGCACTGGTTTCTTGGAAACAGGCAGGATGGAGGCAAATCCATCCAAGGTGGATTTGCAGAAGGTCCTCTGGAAACTTTCTGGCTGAATTTTAGGAATTTCTAAAAACTGAAGCGCCAATATTTTAAAGTCTTTTAAAAATAGTACTTAGAGAGCTTATGAAAAAAAGGATAATTGACTTTTTACACAAGCAGATAGTGACAGGACAAGAGGGAATGGTTTCAAACTAAAAGAGGAGACATTTATACTGGATGTTAGGAATAAATTCTTCCCCAAGAAGGTGGGGAGGCCCTGGCACAGGTTGCTCAGAGCAGCTGTGGCTGCCCCATCCCTGGAAGTGTCCAAGGCCAGGTTGGATGGGGCTTGGAGCACCCTGAGCTAGTGGAAGGTGTCCCTGCCATGGCAGGGGGTAGGACTGGGTGATCTTTAAGGTCTCTTCCACCTCAAACCACTCTGGAGTTCTCAGATCTATGAAAAATTCCAGCCCTCAGAGCAGGGGATGTCAGTGACTTCCTGACTCCTGGGCTTCCCTCAAACCTTGTCATGAAGGTCAGGTCTGAGGTTCAACACTGCAGGTACTCAGGGATTGTGCTTTACTTTGATGGGCAAATCTGTTCATCTTTTAGTTGAATCATCTTCCTCAAGATGCAACTCTGGGGGAACAAGGCAGGAATTATTTTAGGTACCTTCCTGGTGTACTCCTGTATTTTACACCAGCTAAGCAATCTCATCATATTTTACCTCTTTCTATTTTAGGACTTGGTTTGGGGTTTGGTGGTAGGAATTCTGTCCTGTTTGTTATCCGTATTCCCTGCAGCACAAGCCTGTCAAGCCTTGCCAAGTTCTGTGTTCATTTCTGGCCAAACTGGTGTTAAACTTCTATTATCTTCAACCATGTTCTCTCCTTCCTAGTCTTTCATCTCTCCTGCCATCTGTCTTTGTTTTAAAATGCCTTAGACAAGTAACCCATTGTTTTCTGTTGTGAAAATCCATTTGCATGCCTTCATCATCCTTTGATAAAGTTATTCCAATCCACCTCTTGTTCCATGGCAGAGACACTCTCTGTCATTACACGGGGCCTCCTTGTTTGGGTTGGGCCTGGGCCAAGGAGCATTGCTCTATTTGCTGCTTTTGCTTGCTTCCACTCTCCAATGAGCCCAATTACCATGAAACCCAGCCCTCTCCTAAGCCCTCCTTGTTTTGAATGCTATTTACTCGTGCTGAAGTCCTGCTGTGGCTCCTCAGAGCAGTGCTCAGTAATTTGCTGCTCCAGCACAGCCTTGCACAACCCGGGCTGGGAACACTTTAATTGCCTTGGCTGCTGGGGATGAGCTTTCTTGGAGGTGAGTCACTGAGCTGTGAGGAGTTACCAAACTCTGGAGATGTCTCCAGTCCTGCCTGGATCACAAAGTCCTCTGAGAAACTCCCCAGTTCTTACAATGTCCAAAACTTGAGTTGTTCCTTTGCCTCCATTATTCATTTTTGTCCTCAAAGATTTTTATGCTGTTCACTTCTTAGGGAAAAAGAAAAAGAGAACAATTTCCAGCCAGGACTAATCTTACTTGTCCAGGCTGTATTATTTCAGGCTGTCCCAACAGAGCAGATGTTGGAGAGATTTTTGACTCTTGCTGGGTCCAAGGTGAAATTTTCCCAGGGTCACATGCTACCTGTGAAGATAAACAAGAAAAATTAGGGTGGGATTTGTCCAGTCCTACATCAGAAAGAGCCTTCCCCTCCCCACTGGAAATCAATAAATTTCCACCTCTCCTGGGGGCTGGCTGAAGCCCCCAGGTCCCCACTGTGGTTCTGAATGTGGTGAGTCCCACATCATCAACCTGCCGCTTGCCAGCACTGCAGGCAGCAGGGATGGGGGCACGAGGGCTCAGGGGTTCCTGATTACCAGGGGGGACCCAGGGACGCCCTGCACCCTGTCAGGACTTTGCAGCTTTCTCTGTTAATCTGCCTCAGGGCCCTGTGGACATTCCCTGAGCCCCAGGCTGGGGTTGGTGTCTGGGTGCTCCCTCCCTGTGTCTCCTGTGCCGCCCACAGATCCTGCCCTGTGCTTCTGAGCTGGGCTCTCACTGCATTGCCAGCTGCAAACCAGGAGCTCCACCTGCTCAAACAGCTTCAGGGGCATAGCTTAGAAAGAGACTCCAGGTTCCAGACCAGTGAGTTATGCATTTGTCCTTTCCCATGTTCTCCTCCCTTCCCATGTTTCTTTCTCCTCATGTTTCTCATAGCTGGGTTCTGACAGAAAGGCAGAAAGAGTTCAGCAGTTTATCTGATGGATGTGGTTTCTTCTTCTTCCTGGAGCATCCCAATTAAGTAATTGTCATAGAGCAGATGCTCTCCTCTATGACATGGAGTTCATGGTCAAATGGGGTTCCTTCACTCTTCATTATTTTTAATTGAAGTTGCCAAAATATTGAATATTTCCTCCAATTTCTGATGGTGTTTCTGAAAATCAAGCCACTGGACCAGATTTATTAGGGTGTTTGGTTTCCTTTTCATTTTTCTTCTCCAGCTGTCTGAAAAACATTTCTCTGCTCATTTTCAAGCAACATTATTTCACTAATTAAATTGAAATTCCCCTCATTAATTCTACTGGCTGCATTCAAAGCTTTTCCCAAAATCTTTCCTTGTGCTTTAGAGTGTAACATTTGCAGTTTATCCCTTTACCATGGACTTATTTCTGTTTCTCTTTGTTCCTTCACTTTTCACACTTCTGCTATTGCAGTTTTATTTTGCAGTTCAATTGCACCACAGCATTTCACCAAAATTAACCTTTCAAGAGCCTCAGGTCTTCCCTTGATTATTCCCTGTGCCAGAGAGTTCTTACCCACAGATTTCCAATTTCCTATTTCTGCCAAAGATTTCACCTTGATATCAATTTCATAATCTCTTGCTTGTTCTGGGAATTCCTTGGCATTCTCAGTGACACACCTTAAGTTCTTTGTACATTTGTCCTTTGAGGAAGGATTATTTCTCCCCATTATTTGATATCTGTGGACAAGATTCTTGTCTTTGTTGCCCCCATTCTGTTTTTCCCCATTCCCCACCATCTCCTTCTGATTGTGTCTTGTTTATGTTTTCTTAAATCTGTAGCTTTTTGGAGGACTCCTGCCACTGCCACGAGGGGACATCTCCCTCATTGGCTTTCCACAATTTTTCATGAATAATTCTATTTGTAAAAGACAGATGGTATTAAAATCAACTTTGATTTTCAGGCAATTTGTTATTAAGGAATTTCCCCTCCAAATCAGCTGTCCTTGATATTCTGCTCTGTGTTACCCACTACTATATTCACACTGTTTTGTTTGGGGTATGCTGCTTTACCTACTGAAGTTGGCATCACAGCTCCACCAGCCCATATTGAGCTTTTTATACCTAAATTGTAGCAGTCAATGCTGGAAGAAACAGTCAGTGCCAGTTGTTTAAATGAAGAGTTCAGAACTTCTGCCTGAATTCATAAATGACTCAGGTACTGATGCTGGTAATTTTGGCTTGAAAATACAAAGCTTCTGAGGTGTTCTCTGGAGACACAGTGGCAAAAAGCACATATTTAGCATCATTAGAAGTAATTTTTTTCAAAAATAAGAGAGAATTACTCTGGCTTAGGAAGAGAGAAACAACTAGAAACTACAAATTCTTGAGAGTTCAGTTCATGCTCTGCCTGTCTGATCACAGGTACCTTTGGGTTTGTAGGGATTTAATGGCTTTTCGGCCATAGACAACATTTCAGGCAAAAAATGTTTTAAAACGTTGTCATTCTGGTGACAGAGCATAGTGTGCTTATAACTACAGAAGAGATTTGGCAATAAAACCTGTTTTTTCTGTCCCAAAGCATTGCTCAGGAATTTCTGGCTGTCCTCCAGCCCTCCACACAACACTAGGAGCTGCACAACACCTTTGAAGTTTATGACCAAGTTAAACTCAATCATTTCTTTGGTAACAGCTGCTGTGTATATCAGAGAAATGCCTCAAAATTTACTGGATGTGGTTCCATCCCTGTCCTGCCACACTCCAAGTGTGGAGTTGATGTCTCAGGTTCCTCATGATCTTTTGGTCCCATTTCTTGTAGGCTTTAGGGGACTGTTTTGAGGAATGTTTTTGAGGGCACAAGGTTTTATGGAGCTGTATCAGACAGAGAGGATCCTGAGCTTGGCCCTGTTCCTCTCCATCATCCTGGGTGGGACAGGCTGGGACTGCTGCCCTGAGCCCAGAGCAGGAGTCTCCCACAGCCAGAAGAAGGCCCAGGAGATGAGGAGCAGCCATGGGAGCCAGCAGGGAGGGCATATCTGGGTATGAAATGTTCCAAAATTATAAAAGGTCCTGCGATGACTCACGGTTTCGAGCTGTTACGTGAGCAGGTATCTGTTCCCTTGTGCTGAGTAAGGGCTCTGGGCTGCTTGCAGATGTTGTTATTGCAAAGGCTCCCATCCCTTGTCCTCTCCAGGCAGCTCCAAGCCCGCTCCTCTGCCCCATCCCAGGAGATCCACCCACGCTGGCAGTCCCTGCACACTCCAGCAAAGGGCTGGCACTATTTCCCTTCTCTTTCCCTCTCTCAAATTTCAGACTCCGCTCAGTTTTATGCTCATTTTCCCACTCAGATCCTCCTCTCTCTTTCATTTGCCCTGCTCTGGTGACAATTGTCACACAACATTGCTGAGAGAGCAGGAGGGTGTTACTGACAGCCCTGTTCATGGCCAGCTGGAGCTGGGTTTGTCCCAGTGCTCAGCAGTGTCTGTAGGGTTTGTCCCAGTGCTCAGCAGTGCCTGGGTTGGTCCCAGTGCTCAGCAGTGTCTGTGGGGTTTGTCCCAGTGCTCAGCAGTGTCTGTGGGTGCTGCTCTGTGCCTGCCATAATCCTCCTGTTGCTTTCACCTTCCCAGCTCCTGTCCAAAAGCAGCTGAAGCTGCTCGACTTCTCCTGACAGACCTTTGGTCCAACAGGGAGCTGCAGAGTGTGCTGAAGCAGGTAAGGACAGCACTCCTGCTTCTGGGGGTCAGGAGCAGCCCTGGGCTGTTCCCCTGCTCAGGTGGGGAGCTGGTGAAGGCCCTGATCCAGCAGCCAGGAGGGCAGGGCCCAGGAGGAGCCTGGGGCACTTGGCATCTGAGCAGGTGGCAGGGGACACTGCTGGGACTCACTCTGGGCACAAAGCAGAGGGTTTCATGCCTGTGTCAGACACCTTCCTCCCTGGGTTGGGTGCTGGAATGGTCCCCAGCACAGCTTCCCCACTCTGGGCTGTTCCACCCTCATTTAGGGGATTCCTTCACTGCAGCCCATCGGGTCCCAGCTGGTGCCTGGCAAGGTCCCTCCTCTCTTTCCCCTCTATTTCTTCTGTGTCCATAGCCCTGCCCTGTGGTTACACCCCCCTGCAGTCAGAGTAACTTTCAGACCAAGAGGAGAGGAGTACTTGGGATTTGTTTTACTCCCTGCAACAGAAGCTGGGAAAGTGCAGAGCCAAACAGGCACTGAGCCAGCTCCAGCTCCCTGCCCCAGCTCCAGCTGCTCCCAATTCCCAATTTCCAGCCCCCAGCTCCAGCTGCTCCCAATTCCCAATTTCCAGCCCCCAGCTCCAGCTGCTCCCAATTCCCAGCTCCAGCTCCCAGTGGCTTTCTTTAAACAAGTTTGGGTTTTTCCAACTCAAAAGCAGCAGCACCTGCAGGGAGTACAGGGCCAAAGTAAAGAGAAGGAGGGATCCCTACAAAGGGGAGCACCTGGAGGCAAAAGCAGAGCACCCAGAGTCTGTTCCCACATTGACAGTGAGGCCTTTCTGCACAGGAGCTGGGGTGGTGCTGTGCCAGGCTCTGCTCACAGCCCAGCTCATTTTGGTGTGACTGAGTCACTCTGGTGTTCACACACAGGTTTATTGCAGAGGTGCCTGTCAGGGAGGAGGATGGGAGTCTGCAGGGGTGCATGCACCATGTGAAGGCTTCTGCTCTTTTTGCAGGATGAGGAACTAAATGAAACAATACTCAGTGAATGAGTCAATACAAGTTCCCTCCAAAAACCTGGAGGGGTCCAGCTCTGGGTTGGTGGAAGGCAATGCAAGGAAAAGCCACCTGGTCTAGGGGAAGATGTCCCTGCCCATGGCACAGGGGAGGATGAGATGAGCTTTGAGGTCCTTTCAACCCAAACCATCCCATGGTTCTGTGGTTCTGTGGAGTTCATCAGTGAGGGTGACAGGAGTACCCAGAGGGCTGACAGAGGAGGTTGGCTCAGGATGAAGCACACTTTGCTCAATTCTTGCTCTCAGTGTAGAAATTGATATGCACTTTATGTTTCTGCTTTTTTAGCAAGGGTTTGATAAGAACATGATGGGATCTTTAGCTGGAACGACCTTCAGGACCCTCTCCTCCAGATTTTAGAGCCTCTCCATGCACATTCAGGCTGCAGGTGAGAACATGGCCCTTGTGGTGGATTTGGGACACAGGAATCCTTTGAGATTGTTGCTACTTTTGATCACCCCAGAAGTGTGTTTGTGAGATTTCCATCCCAGTCTGTTTCTATGAGAGGTCAGAGGCTGTGCTGTCTCTGGGCCCAGGGCAGATGTTGCCCCCACTGCCCAGCTGTGCATTTTGGAGATGCTCAGCACAGATGTCACAAGACAGACAAAGCTTGGCTGTGCTTCTCCCTTCCTTTGCCAAGCAATCACTGATTTTGTGCATTTTCCAAACCCTCACAGGTGAGGCTCTTCTGGGATTCCCCCTGGCACTGCCCTCATTGCTGAGCTTTGAGCAGTGTTACCCAGACAGTGCCAGTGATGTGCAGTGAATTCCAGCACATCCATGGCTTCATTAGCCTTAACTAATTGTTTGAGCCCTTCATCTGCCTGCCAACCTCAGGTCAGAGTGGAGAACCACATTCTGTCAGCTGAAAATCCCAATAGAGAATCAGGGAAGAGAAACCATGGGCAGAATTTCCAGGGCATTGTTATGGGTTTATATTCAGTGAGAAATGAGGATTTAACCCATCAGGCACTTTTCACTCATGATTCCCACTGAAGGGAAAAGCTATAAGGACTTTGAAAATAGCAGAGGTCTCTTGGATAGTGTCTGAGATTATGCAGAGGGAATTATTTGCTGCCTTCCCCAGCATTTTCCTTGTGATCAAACCAAGGGAAAACAGTGCCAAAGCCCCTTCCCTCCCTCTGCCCAGGAATGGATTTCCCTTCCTGCTCTGTTGGGGTGTTTGCACTGGGACTCTGAGGAGGGTGGAAGTCCAGGGTGAAAAGGTTTGTGCAGCTGAAAAACTGCAGCCAGGCTCAGAGAAAAGATTAAAAGTTGGGGTTTGCTGTAATGAAAAGATCTCTTGAATGCTTTAATTATCTGGGGTTTTGCTTTTTCTTTGTTTTATTTATTTTCCATTTCAGAATTTGGAGTTGGTTCATGTCCAGGAAGAGCAACACTTCCATGATTCCTGAGGATGTTAAAGATGTAGAGAGTTTCTGAGTTCAACTCAACTGTAAAGCAAACCAAACATGTGGATTTCATGTGGATGACACTGATATTTTTAAGCATTTTCTTCTTTTTAGGGGGGAGAAGGGACTTTTATATACTTTCTCAATGTCAATAATTATTTTTTTGCCAAGAGTGTGTCTGTGTAACTCTGGGTGTGATGTAGAGGTGTGTGCAGGCAGCACACAGAGCACACGTGGGGAGCAGGATCTTCCTCCAGCTTAGTCCCCTGTTTTCCACCCAAAGTCAGGGTGATTGTGCAGTTTAGCCCCTTGCAGGATTTTATTCCAACTTCACCCTATCCATGCACCAAATACTGCCATGCTAAAATTTTGTCACAACGTGGTTTTGTCCACAAACACATAAAAAGTCAATTTTAGGTCAAGTTCCCCCTTTGCATCTGTCCATTATTAACAGATACACACAAGGATTCTCTTCTTTCCAAGGCTGGTTATTCCTCACAGTTATGAACAAGGGCTTCTTCTCTGCTTAGGATTTTTCTCTGATAATTGTTAACATTTTCTTTCCTGTCACATGACCTCTTTATCTCAAGAAGCAAATTGACACCTGCAGATTCTCTCCCAGGCCTCCATCACCCTTCCCTGAAGCTGTTTGTGAGAGGACAGTTGGGAAACAGCTGCAGAGCTTGAACATTCCCAGGTCCTGTCTGGGCACCAAAGCAATTCCAGTTCCTGACTGTGCCTGGACAAAGGTGGCATGTGAGAAGCTGAGCAGGACAGGCCAAGTGTTTTCCCCCTGGAATCAATGACTGCCACAGGAATGAAAGAGGGGAGGGATGTGTCCTCTTTAATCATACTTTGTTTTTATTGATCAATGTAAAGAACTGGTACTGATGTGCAAAGGAATGTGAGCACTTGTGTGATGTCAGGTTTGGAAATGTTTTATTTCTCGGGATCTTGAATTGCATTCATCTGCCTGTGATGCTGAGCCTGTGCTGAGGGACTGCTGAGCTCATTTCAGAGCATCTCAATTCTCACAACCTTCCTCTCTCCAGAAGAAAAATATCCTTCCCATGGAGGGGACACAGCTCAGACCCACAGGGAAGGAGCAGCTGAGGCTGTCTTTGCTGCCTGTGCTGGTTATTATTCCTCAAAGGCTGCAGGGCCACAGGGCCCTGTTTCTCAAACATCAGGGGCACAGGAGGTGCTTGGGAAGGTTGGATTATGAGCCTGGAAATAGAAAAGCAGTCTCATTTTAAGTGTCAGGCTCATTAATTGGTGGGACTCAGGATATTCAGTTCACATCCATGGGGTGATCTGTGTCCACTACAGAGCCCCCTGTGAGGTTTGGGTTTGCTCTGCTGCAGTTCCAGGTGTCTCTTGCTGGTTCCCCTCTGGAGCACAGGGAGCTCCTGCCCATAGGGAGAGGTCATTTCCAGCTGCTTTTCCTCTTGGGCCTCAAAGAGTGGCTTCATCTCGTGCACTTTACTGAGCAGCCACCCTTCTCAGTCAGGAGCTTTCTGTGCTGAGCTGCAGCCAAATGAGAAAGGGAAAAAAGCCCCTTTGAAGTGGAGAGGCAGAACCAGGAGGATCCAGTGGGACAGAAGTGTTCCAGAAGGGTTCAAACAGAGCACAGAGCCCCAGACTGTGGGCAAAGCCCTTCCAGCAGTTCCCTTGCTCCATGTGGATTCCCAGATGCAAAATGTTGGAAATGCTTTGGGCAAGACCCATCTGTGGATGTCCCCAAGGGCTGCAGCATCCACAGGGTTGGTTCAGTTTGGGTGTGAAGTGTTCTGTGCAATTTTGCATTCAGGTTTGATCTGTAATGACACATCCAACACAAGTGCTGGGAGCAGATATTTTCCTCTGGAAAACTAATTAGGGAAACAACTACAAAATTGAATGATGGAATATTGAGGAAATTCACTCTAATTGGCTGTGATTTAGGATTTATTTTAAAACAGTGCAGCTGCTTTCTCCCCTAATGCAGTTACTGAGTCACTGTACAAGGCACAAAGAGCCACAGCATTATGATCATCAACTCACAATTAAATTTACAGGTGCTGGAGATCACATTAGTGAGTATTGGACTCCAGGAGGCAGATTCATCATTCACATACATTTTATTACAAAAAACATTGTTACATTTGTTTTTATTACAGGGTTTTTTAAAGCTAAAAATAAAATCTGTCTCCATGCTCAAAGCTCTTCCAAATGTGGCTGGGCACAGCCCTGAGCAGCCTCACCTGGCTGGGATGTTGTCCCTGCCCTGAGCTGGGCACACCAGAGAGGTTCCTCCCCCTGAGCTGGTTTTAGGATGCTGTTTGTCACTGCTTGCAAACCTCAGGGCAGAGCCCACTCAGGAGAGCTGTGGGCTGCAGAAATCACAACCATCCTGCCGTTCCAGGGCTGTTCTGCGGCTGGATCTCCCCTGGGAAATTCTCTGATACCCTCTGTTTTCCTCCCAGTCTCCCTAAAATCTGGACACCCAAGTCAGTGAAGTGACTTTGATGCCCAACTCTGAGAAGTGAAGGGAAATTCAGACATTGGAGTAACTGCTGTTGCTCATAACCAGCTATTCTGGGAGCCCAGTGAGGTTCTCTCCAACATAAATTAATGCTGTTTTCACCTCCAGTATAATTCTTTTCATTCTGAGGAGGTATTTTTTTTAAGGCATGATTTTAGCTGTGACATCCTCTCTCTGAGCTGGTTTCCTGTTCGTTGCTCCTTGAAGAGCCAGGGTAGGGCACACCCCAGGACAGGGCCAGGGCACAGAGACAGGGATGGAGGATTCCTGAGGAGGAGGAAGGAGTGTGGGCAGCAGGAGCACTTGGACACCCAGCCATGTAAATAAACACCACCCTCACTGCCCTGGGCGCAGCAGAGCTTTTTTGGTCTATTTCCTTCTAAATGCTTTGCTTATTTTGTGTGTGTACAATCCCACCCCAGCATTTCAGAAGCCTCATGGACAAGTCAAAGGCAGTTTCATTCCTTTCTGAACACACACCAGTGTGAAACCAACTCAGCCTTACCAGTCCATAGCTCTACAGTGTATTCTGTAAGATATAGGTATGTGAGAAAAATGTCTCAGAGTTTTGTTTTGGCTGTACTGTATGTATTTGCTTCATTGGAAAAGCTGAAATCAATAAAAATTGCTGAAATTTCTTCAAGCTTTCTGGTTTGGATGGTTTTATTTGGGTTGTTTTGCCAGTGTTAGGAAAGAAGAAAGGTCTGAAAGGTCTGGAAAAAACCCTGTTACCCTGCAGCAGGAATCAGCTTGGACTGATCTGTCTTAGCCAACAGGAGCAGGGAAGCTGTAAATCCAATTTCCTCCAGCCTGGCACTGCCCAGGCTCCCCAGGGAATGGGCACAGCCCCGAGGCTGCCAGAGCTCCAGGAGGGTTTGGACAATGCTCTCAGGGATGCCCAGGGTGGGATTGTTGGGGGGTCTGTGCAGGGCAGGGGTTGGACTCAGCAATCCCTGTGGGTCCCTGCCAGCCCAGGATTTCAATGATTCCATGATTTCATCCTCAGTGGATTTCAGTGATTCCATGATTTCATCCTCAGTGGATTTCTCTCCCAAGAGCTTTCACAGCCATGACTTCAGTCCATGGAAAAGTTAATTACCATGGGTGTCATTTGTGCCATTGCTGAAAGGATCCAAAGGCTGTAGCAGGAAAAACCCCTCAGCTTTCTCTAGACCTGCCCCACCTGAGCTGCGTTTGAAGCTCTGTGGTTCTGACATTTCAAAGGTGAGGTGAGGGCAAGGGGATCCTCCCCAGTTTCCCTCTGGGCCAGGCTGGGCAGGCCCAGCTCAGAGTTCCTCACTCAGACGCAGCAGCTCCTGGCACTCAGTGCCCTCCTCGGGGCCCTGCCCCATGGAATGGCTCCTTCCTGGGCCCAGGAGCCAGCACAGGGCACAGGGCACAGGGGCAGTGAGGCCAGGCCTGTGCTGGACATCACAGATCTGATCTCTGCTCCATCCCTGCCCTTGCCTTCTCATTGTTGGGGGGGTCACAACACAGAGACCACATCTGCCAGTCTCAGATGGCAACTCTCTATTATCAAACACAGCTGACTTTTTATACACTTTCTAATTGTTTATACTTCTTCTACCTTAACTATTGGCTACAATAAATCAACATAACACTATTGGTGAAAAGCTACAGTGACTTCAACTAACTTTCTAAAAATGCTTCGTCCAGCTGCAAAGTTCTCTTATCTTTCTTCAATTCTTCACTTCTCTTGGTGTCTTCTCTTGGTTACAGCCTTGGAGAGAGCTCTTTATCAGCTTCTTCTTGCCTCTCAGCTTCTTCTCACTCCTTTAGCTAACAGGATTGCTGTTAGCCCCTTCCCACAATAGCTGATATTCCCTTGGAATATCCCCTTGGAATATTCCCTTGGAATATCAGGTTGAGCTTTTGTTGAGCTGTCACTGGGATGGGCTGGCCATGAATGGTCCATGGAGTCACCTCCACACCCATCTCACAAAAGAAAAGATTATTTCACCCCATATGTATCAACATTTCACTGTGCTGATGTTTGTCTGTCATCTACCTCCCCAAAATTCCACAGACATTTCTCCATCCTCAGGAATGTCACTGATGTATCAGGCAGAGCAGCTTGTAGGAATCCTCCCCATTTTTCACAGGCATCACAAACTGGAAAAGGTAAATAGCTGCTCCTCTCTGCTCCTCTCCTTCCTGGCTTCTCCTTTGTGTGATCCCCACTGACCCCCCAATCTCCTGGCAGGGCCTTCCCCTCTATTGAGAGATGCTCTGAATTTTTGGCTCATTCTTCTGACCCCAGCTGGTTGTTCCTTCAACTGCTTTTGGCAGGTTTAGTGTAGTTTATGTTGAACTTGGAAGAGGTTGTGAAGCCTTTCCTATTTTTGTCTTCAGCTGTTTGAAAAGCACCTGCTGGTACTTCCTCCTCCTGCTGCTCACCCAGGCCAGCTGCCATCTCCTGCTCCTCAGGGAGTTCCTCACTGCTGGGATGTGCTGGGCTGAGCCTCAGGATGATGAATGCAGCCCACATTGCCTGGAAACTTTAACTCTCCCTTTCCTTTTTCCCTTTAAAAGCAGCTCCCTCTGAGTTCCTGTTTTGGAGGATTGCCTGTGCTGGTGGATATGAAGGGGATTTTGTTGAGCCCAGACTTTTCCTGCTACTCAGGACCAAACTGGAAGCTGCACCTGCACCCCTT